TATTCAAGCCTTGAAAACGACGTAGCGCGAGAATTCTGGTCTTCTAGCGACAGACTCGCCGTTTCCGCCCCTAACACTATTCACTTGTACGAAATTGACTATTAACTTGTACGAATTTTACTATATACCTGTACAAATTTTGCTGTTTATTTGTACGAACTTGGTATACAAAATCTGTAAATTCTATTACTAATTACATTAACTGCTCGACCAGATCTAGCACTCATCCTTCGATCCGAGACTTTAAACACTGGTAGCACGAGCCCGATTCTTGATTGACCTTTTTTCGTCTGATCTGACTACATAACCACTTCCAAGTAACTCGAGTCATCCGACATTTTTTATGATCATGTGAATTTTTCAATATTTTGCCACGAATCATTTTGTCAAAATATCATGGAAAAACTCATATAGTCATATAATTTCGTGACTATTGAGCACTATGTTGTTGAACTCCATTGGATGTCTAAATTTTTCTAGTGTTCCAATAAGAATCTCAGTGGAACGAATTTTCAATAGAACTTTCTTTTATGTAATAATATAATCTAAAAAGCGCGGTTTATAGTTGATAATTAATGAATATATTGGTTTTTAGTATAATTATAACATGTCATATATTTTAACCACGTTAGGTATGGATCAGTTCACTCCAGTGTGTTCCGGTCCTTAATAAGACCGGCTCATTAATGTTTTCAGTCAAATATCGGCCCTAAATCTCTAACCATTTCACCGGCTAACGGAGAGTGTCAGATCATATGACGTCGGCAATTGAAAATTAGCGATCACGTAACATACTTCTTTGACCAGTCTGACAAGTCTCAAGAGCGAGGGCCAAATAACTGTAAGACTGGTTTGAAAATATTCGGTCTTTCTAGGATTGATCCATACCTAAACTACGTCAGAGAACTTCGAAACCAGATTATAACCGATTATAATTTATGATTATAAGAGATTTCAATCTTAATTGATAATATACGAGAAGGTGATTATAATCGATTATTATTTATTAACTATAATCGATTTCAATCTATCTACAAATTTTCCAGATGCAATCAACATATGAAAAAGAGCAGACTTCCACATGACATGAGGTCTGATACCAAGATCCGTGGTCTCAAACCAAAATCTATGGTTCCAAATAGTGATTCCTGACGAAACAATGTGATGCTAATTATCACGTACCATTACTTAAAAATCAAAATAGATGTTGATTTTTATATATTATACCATGTGACAATTAGCATCACATGGTTTCGTCAGGCATCACTAGCTCCAAACTCTCCGTTACACAGATCACACTTTGTATCGACCAGTCAAAATATCACTACGGGATTTGTCAACCAATCAAATTGCGAAATTTACAAAAAGACGAAACCTTGGGATTCAAGGGGATTCAAAAAATATGTTGAAAGCAAAGTGAGAGTTTCATGTTTGTTTAATCATTTTCAATATTCATAGAAAAGATAATTCAAACGAGCCTTCCAAAAAAATATTGTAAAATAATATAAAAAAAATTTTATCAATTGTGTAACAATTTTATGACGTTCAACGTTTCCTCCTGTTGTTCTAAACCATACACTGCCATATCATATCAATAGCATTAACAAATATAGTAAGAAATGCTAATACAATATAGAAAATATGGCAAAGAAAATTTAACACAAAATTTTCGTACACCACTACAGTATAATGGTAATATATCATTTGATCTAATGCTTTAATAAATATAAAACAAATATATAATATACGTTACAGTGTTGTAATATTTATTTATAATCCTATTTATTGTTTTAAAAAAACTTACTAATTCAACATTTAAATGCTTTTGTTTGCAATAAAGTGTATTCAAATAATCAATATTTGAACAGATTAATTTTGTTGGAAATAAAATATCAATGATATTAAGATGGATGTGGCTAACGTGGCAAAACTCATATCAAAAATGGTTACACCAGCACTAGTCGCAGACAAAGGAACATTTCCATCTAAAAAATTGGATTAAAAAAGAAAATTAAGTTTAAGTGATAATAGAAAATTTAGTATTGAAATTATATATATATACCTAAAAATGAAGGACCACACGTTTGGTTGAGTTCAGTAGTTAAGAAAGTAGACGCAGTGCTAAGATCAGATGGAGGGGGGTGTGATTTCATATAATTCAACAAAGTATTGGCAATCGCCTTATTGCACGTTGTACATAAAACCTTTGAAGACAGATTTGTATATGAACCTTGAATTTGAGCATTTTCAATATTTTCTAAAGTTTCAATGACACAATATCCTCCTGTAGAATTTTTTAAGCAAAATGAGTCCCTAAATGGGGAATATACATAAATAAAATCATATATTCCCATAGTTTCAGTATTATTTTTAGCGATATCATCTGAGCATTTCGATTGAAAAGTGGAATTGAAATTTGAAATTAAAGAGTCACTGCATTTTGGAAGGCTACAGACCGAATCTTCAACACTTATTAATTGCTTTTCACTTGTTGCTATACTTTGAAAACTCGTAGCACTATTAATTTGACTAGTTAATTTATTGTAGGGGAAACATGCGTTAAATTCTGACGAGTTGAGAAAAGTTTGAACGGCCGAAGAACATTGTGAAGAAAGACTTGAAGTACTGAATTGAGCATATGATTTTGTGATTAAAGTAATAAAAGTAATAAAGAGATGTAAAATGAATCGAAGATATTTCATTTTGAATAAGCTAAACCTTGTTGAAATTAATTTTATAATCAAACTCGTTTATAATCAAATTCAGAGTGGGAATAGAGCCTTTACAAATAATTATTTCTGTGATTTTAAGCTGTCTTTATGAAGGGGTTTTATGTAATTATCGTTATCTAATATTCTTTGTAATCTAACTATTACACAAAAGATAATTTCAACTTGTATAACACTTAATTTTAGCGTTACTTTATTTGGAGAATTAATAAAGAGTGAAATTAATTATCATAAATAAGTAGAATAAAAAAAGCACAAAGGGCTCTGGATAAAAAAATAATGAAATTGAATTCTCATTTTATTTTGAAACACTTATTATATATACATAACATAACAATTACCTTTTATTGAATACAAAAAAATATTTTCCGTTTCAGGTAAACTAAGCTATATTCAGAAGACTAACTATAATAAATTCTGAATATACTTTACATTTCATTATTTTGTTCGATTAAATAGTTGTAAAGTTTTAAGTAAACCATTTCATTAATAAGTCCTGAAAGTGGTAATATTGTATAAAGTTTGCTGCAGTACAGTATACGTATGCATTCTTGTATTCCCAGTTAGGCTCCGATTTATAATTACCATTTATACGTACATGATTTTTATTTATAAATCACTCTTTAAAGAATTTACTTATTTTGTCAGTAGATCAAACCAAAAAAGGAATTTAATTTTGCAAATAAACTACGTACGTACATACGTAAGTGAAATCTAAAGTTAAAACATTAGTTATTTGAGCAGATTATCATTGCATGCGAACAATTTATGCAAATTTGGTTCCCATCATTTTTAATTAGTGTATCAAGGCTGATTTAATCATTATTTTTCAAATATTCTTTTTCTTCTTTCGCAAATCTATGTAGAATAATCTCTTTAATTTGTCATAGTGTTACTTGGAGAAATATCGATTTGCTGGGAGTTAAATCAACCAGCAAAATTAAACAAACAAAACACTGGACCACCT